TATCCTGAACCAGAGAGAAAGTGAGTTATAACTCTCACAGGGAGTCAGGAAAGGATCAGAGTGAAACATGAAATAGGCTCTGGTATCCAGACATAGCTTACAATACTCATAAGAAGTAAATCAATCATTATTGTGCTTTAAAAAACTCATTAAGGAATATTTCTGATCTGATAAGGTTCCCATGCCTCAATGCTCTAGATAATTTTCTTCTGTAGTAGCTCAACCACTTACCTCCTGTTTTCTGGTTCCAAACCCACATTTCTAATTCATGTCTTGTACTGATCATTTCCACCACTCGCCTGTCAGTTTGTCATACTGTGATGGCTTGTGAGTTGCTGTGTTTCTGGAAAATATGCCATGTGTATTCTAAATACCAGCAGGGTCACCCATGGTGGACAGGTTTTAGATGAGCTTCCAGACGAAGACAGATTAGGAAGAAGAAATAATGAACTACTTCCAAATATTTAGTGACTGTAAACCTTATGAATAGCAGAGAAACACTGTCAGATATAGTGCCAGAAAATGAGCCTCTCAGGTTCGAAAGCACTCAAAATGCGGCTGAGGAAGAACTGCCTCCTCAGAGTAGATTTGACAATGATGATGTGAATGGAGTAAAGCCTGTGGGAGTAAAGACCACGGGACCTTCATTTGCTGATGGGGCACATCTCAAAATTAAGAGAGACAGTTGTAAACATCCATTAATAATCAGACCATGGAATGTATGACGTATGAATCTAGGAAAATTAGAAATTGTCAAAAATGCAATGGGATGTATAAACATCCATATCTTAGGCATTAGTGAGCTGAAATGGACTGGTATTGGCCATTTTGAACCACATTGTTTACTATGCAGGGAATGACAAGTTGAAGAGGAATGGTGTTGCATTCATCGTCAAAAAAGAACGTATCCAGATCAGTCATGAGGTACAGTGCTGTCTGTGATAGGATAATATCCATGTGCCTACAGGGAAGACCAGTTAATACCACTATTATTTAAATATACACACAACTGCTTAAGCCAGTGAGGATGAAATAAAAGAATTCTACCAACTTCTTCAATCTGAAATTGATCAAACATGCAATCAAGATGTATTGATCATTACTGGCAATTGGAATGCAAAGGTTGGGAGCAAAGAGGAAGGATCAGTAGTTGAAAAATATGGCCTTGGTGATAGAAATGATGCTGGAGAATGCATGATAGAATTCTGCAAAACCAGTGATTTGTTCATTTCAAATACCTTTTTTAGACAGCACAACAGACAATTACACACATGGACCTCACCAGATGGAATACACAGAAATCAAATTGACTACCTCTGTGGAAAGAAACCATGGGAAAGCTCCATATCATCAGCCAAAACAAGGCCAGGTGCAGATTGTGGAACAGATCATTAATTGCACCTATGGCAATTCAGACTGAAGCTGAAGAAAATGAAAACAAGTCCACGAGAGCCAAAATATGACCTTGAAAATATTCCACCTGAATTTAGAGATCATCTGAAGGACAGATTTTATACATTAAACACTAAAGACTGAAGACCAGAAGAGTTGTAGGATGACATCAGGAACTTTATACATAAAGAAAGCAAAAAGTCATTAAGAAGGCAAGAAAGAAGGAAAAGGTCAAAATGGATGTCGGAAGAGACACTGAAACTTGCTCTCCAACATAGAGATGCTAAAGCAAATGGAAGAAATGAGGAGATACAAGAGCTGAACAGAAAATTTCAAAGGTCAGCTTGAGAAGACAAAGTCAAATGTGCAAAAATCTGGAGTCAGAAAACCAAAAGGGAAGAATATGTCCCACGTTTCTCAAGCTGAGGGACCTGAAGAAAAAATTCAAGGCTCAACTTTCATTCTTGAAGGATTCTCTGGACAAATTATTGAATGATGCGGAAAGCATAAAAAGATGGAAGGAATACACAGAATACTGTACCAAAAGGAAATGGTTGATGTTCATCCATTTCAAGAGGTAACATATGATCAAGAGCCAATGATACTGAAGGAAGAAGTCCACGGTGTTTTGAAGGAATTGGCAAAGAATGAGGCACCAGGAATTCATGGAATGAAAATTGAAATCTTTGAAGAAAATGAGGTGGCACTGGAGGCACTGACTCATCTATGCCAAGAAATGTGCAAGACAACTATCTGGCCAACTGATTGGAAGAGATCCGTATTTGTGCCCATTCCAAAGCAAGATGACCCAATGGAATGTGGAAATCATTGGCCAATATCTTTCATCTCCCATGCGAATAGAGTTTTACTAAAAGTAATACAGAAACGGCTGCAAGCACACATTGACAGAGAACTTCCAGCGGTTCAAGCCAGACTCACAAGAGGACTTGGATGAGGGATAGCATTACTGATGTCCGATGGATCTTGGCTATAAGAAGAGAATACTAGAAAGATGTTTACCTGTTTTTTATTGACTATAACAAGGCTTTCAATTGTGTGGATCATGACAAGCTCTGGACAACATTGCGAAGTATGAGTATTCCTGAAAATTTAATTGTGCTCATGATGAATCTGTACATGGACCAAGAGGCAGTTGATGGAAAAGATCATGGGAACACTGAATGGCTTAAAATTAAGAAAGGTGTGTGACAGGGTTGTATTCTTTCACCATATTTATATAACCTGTATGCTGAGCAAATAATCCGAGAAGCTGGGTTCTATGAAAAATGTGGCATCAGGATTGGAGGGAAGACTCATTAACAACCTGCGACATGTAGATGATATAACCTTGTTTGCTGAAAGTGAAGAGGACTTGAAACATTTACTGATGAAGATCAAAGAGCACCGCCTTGGGTATGGATTGCATCTCAATGTAAAGAGAACAAAAATCCTTATTACTGGACCAGTAAACATTCTTACCAATGGAGAAAAGATTGAAGCTGTCAAGGACTTTATTCTTCTTGAATCAACACTCATGGAAGCAGCAGTCAAGAAATCAAAGAACACACTGCATTAGGCAAATCTGTTCACTAGACCTTTTCAAAGTGTTGAAGAGTAAAGATGTCAGCTTGAGGGCTAAGGTGCGCCTGACCCAAGCCATGGTATTTTCAGTATCCTCATATGCATGCAGAAGCTGGACAGTGAATAAGGAAGACCAGAGAAGTACTGAGGCATTTGAGTTACAGTGTTGGAGGAGAATATTCAAAGTGCCATGGACTGCCAAAAGAATCAACAGATCTATGTTGGAAGAAGTGCAGCCAGAGTGCTCCTTGGAGGCCAAGATGGCCAAACTTCATTTCTCATACTTCGGACATATTGTCAGGAGGGGCCATTCGCTGGAGAAGGGTATCATGTTTGGTAAAGTGAAGGGTCAGAGAAAAAGAGGAAGACCCCCAGCGAGATGAACCGGCAAAATGACAGCATCAATGGACTCAAGCTTGGTAACAATTGAGAGGTTGGCCCAGGGCCCGGCAGTGTTTCGTTCTGTTGTACATCGGATCACTATGAGTTGGTACTGACTTGATGGCATCTAACAAAAACAACAACTGACCATGTAGTACTAGCAAGGCTCTGTTGTTGATTGCTGTAACATGATCTCATCTTGTTTAGTAGGTCAGGGTTATCACCCTACTTACAGACTCATAAGGCTGTGTCCTGGTATAGTTAGTTCTGTGAGCTAATACACTGGACTGCAAGGTCAGTGTGAAGCACAAGATTGGCAGTTCAAGCTCGCCAGCTGCTCCTTGGAAACCCTATGCAGGGTCACTATGAGTCGGAACCCTGTAAGACAAAGATTAATGGGAGATACCATTGTAAAACACAGTACTTGACACATAACTAAGCACTTAGTAGATAGATATTTATTGTTAATTTTTAAGTGCTTGGTACAAAATGTATAGTTTTTCATATAAACACACTGCTATTAAGTAGATTCATACTCGTAGTGACCCTATAGGACAGAGTAGAACTGCTTCATAGGTTTCCATGGTTCTAAATCTTTACCGGAGCTGACTGAGGCATCTTTTTCTTGTGGTTCCAACTGCCAACTTTTGAATTAGCATTCAAGCACTTAACCACTGGGGCTCCTTTCTTCTCTCTTGTGCTTCTTCAAATACTGTTTTCTTTGTTACCTTCCTATTAAAATAGGAAGTCACTTCTTGTGTTTTTCAGTTGTAAATGTAGGATTCAAAGCTCTTTCCATACTTGCCCCACCTTTTCTTCTCACATTCTTCTACTTCTACCAGCCAGTTGTATTTCATGGAATTCTCTTTTCCTTCTGAGAATACTAATTAGTATGCTATCTTACACACTGGAAATACTCATTACCTTCTATGCATTTATTGCTTCCTTCCGATTCGGTTACCTTTTCTAGTGAAGTTGCTTGTTCCTCTAGCCTTAAAATTGTCACTCACACTTTCTATGGACTCTATTCCCTAGTGTTTGTTCGTTGCATTGTTATGAGTTTGCTTTTTGGTGGGTGAGTTATAATTGTGTGTTGTTGTATTATAAACAGGTATTTAAGTTTCTCTCAATAACTTTAAAAAGATACTCTGTCAAACATCACCCTAAAGGAACTGGCTGTGTTTTCTTGTTTTTGTTTTTTATTTTTTTAATCCAGAGAGCCATGCTGTCTAACATTTTCTCTATTGCAGGCCTACATTTTAATCACCTGACAGTATGGTCATGTTTAATAATGAAAATCTAGATGTTCATATCAAGAAAAAGTATGATAATGAGTGCTTGAAAAAAAGGTGATACTTAAATTTCGTGTGTAGAGCATTTGGTGACTGAAAGTATACTAAGGCAATTGAAATGTTGAGATGTTGAAAGTTATTGTTTACTTTTGTGATGTTATCATTTTCTCAGCACTCTCTGTCCCTCTTAAAGAAAGTAAGGAAAGCAGTCCAGCTAGTAGTGTAAATGGAATGGCAATACAGCCTTGCACTGAATCCTAAAGCGGCCCCTTGGCACCTCTCAGAGATGAGAGTTTGAAGATGAATCGTGAAACTCTACTAGCCTATTTCAATCCTATGTTTTCTTTTTTTCAGATTTCCTGAAATGCAGTTTTTTCAACAAGAAAATGTGAGAAAAATTCTTACAGATGTTCTTTTCTGTTATGCCAGAGAAAACGAGCAGTTGCTTTATAAACAGGTAATGAAAATATCGTACAGGTGGCATCCATTGACTCAAAATTTTCTATACAGCTTGACAAATGATAGCGCAATAATGTAGCCTTTATTGTATCCAGAGTTGTATCATAATGGTAAAGCAATCAAAGACCTGCTTGTCTGCTGCATAGCGAGAAAAGTAAGCTCATTGAAGCACATATGCTTCTTCCTCATTATACGACATTCCACCAAATTGTCTTCTATAAGGCTGTTCAATCTTTTCTTTCAACTTTTGGGAGTTTGTTTATAAACAGCCTCTTTAAAGCCAATCTAGTAATAAAACTTTTTAGACTTGTAGGTATAAATATTGTTTCTAAGTACAGCATTTATAAATATGTGAAATGCCATATAAAAACGAAACTATCCCATTAGTCTTTAAAGTTTACCAGTTACAGAACTTTAGAAAGTCCCTAGAAGGTCACAATTTCTGAGATTCATATTTAGTTTCTTAGGGATCCTGTTATTTGACTCATCTCATTACTAAAGCAAAGCAGATTGTTGGATTATGCATTTTCATTAAAATGTCAATTATTTACTTGATACATAAAGGTTTTCTAATTAAATTTACAATGTTCCAATATAAACAGATATGGCTGGATATTTTTATGTATTTCTTCAAATATATAAATGGTAATTCAGACTGAATTCATAAATTGTCTGAGAATCAAAAGTTACATGTCCAACTCATGACCACCTAGCGTCACTGTCATACAGGAGAGAGAGAGTAGCTGGGTTACGGTCGAGATCAATTCCTAAGTAGAGCTTTCAGTCTAATTTGTAGGTAAGTCAGAGCAGGTGAATACAGTTCTTATGTAGCCTTACTTTGGTGCAAGAAAATATTTGACGTCTTTTCAGTTATTTAAAAGTTGCACATGCAGCAGTGAAGATGATTTTGATAAATTTGTTATGAGTAGGAGTTGGTTCAGTAGCTTCAAAGTAAAAGTAAATTTACACAACATTAAAGGACAAAAGTTGTCTGTAAATTGGGCGGTCATAACCTGGGTACTTACTGATCTTAAGGTAGTAAACCAAATCCAAGTACAATAATCTTAAATAATGCACTTTCTGTGATTATATGCATAGAATATCCAGTGGACTGATTTTATATTAACTTTTATATTAGTAATATGTTTTATTTTAATTACTTGCTGGCAATAACTGTTTAGAATTTGAAATGGAAAAAAAATGTATCCAGTTCATGATGGCAGTCAAAACTATAAAATGTCTTCTCATTAATTTTAATAAGAAAATATAAACCGCTGTATGAAGAAAACTTTAGATTTCATTGAATGATAATAAAAAGCAAGGGTTGAATGAATAGAAAATAATAAGCATGTTCTGAATTGGGAGAGGATAAATAAAAATATTAATCCTTCTCCAGTTATTATAAAAATGCATTAGTCCATGAGAGATTTTGTCTGTTTTTGTTTTTGTTTTCTGTTCTGCGGGGTCAGGGGATCAGTGGCACGTTCTCTTAGCAACACGTTTGGTTTAAAAAGTTCTTGATTTTGTTTTAGGTGAATGTTTACACGGAAAGCTAGCTTCCTCTTGAATGGTTTTTGTACAGATTGGTCTGTGACGTTGGTTACAGTTTTCACAGTGTGTCAGCCTTCTCAATCTTTCCATTCTGGGTGTTCTGTTTCCATTGATCTGGATTCCCTTCCCACCTAGCTTTCTTATCTTTGCTTCTGGGTAAATGTTGGCCGTTTGGGCCCACATTATTTAAGGGTGTTGTTTGTTTTCTAGCTAGACACAGTTATTTTTAATTTAATGTCAAAATGCTTCCCCACACCAAACCCACTGCCTTCAAGTTGATTGTGACTCATTGCTACCGTATACAACATAGTAGAACTGCATTATATTGTTTCCAAGGCTGTTAATCTTTATGGCAGTAGATGGTCTCCCCTTTATCCCATGGAGCTGCTGGTGGATTTGAATCACCTACCTTTTGGTTTACACCCTCGGAAACCCTGTACAGGGTCGCTATGGGTCGGACCCGACTCGATGGCACTTAACAACAACAACAACCTTTTGGTTAGCAGTCTACTGTGCTACCAGGGCTCCTTGATATTGCATTGCTGTCAACTTGGTTCTGACTTATAGCGAGGGGTTCCAACTCACAGCAACCCTGTTTAGGGTTTCTGTGCAGGTGGTGGGCTTGAACCACCAACCTTGATGTTCAAATTGACCTTGCAGTCCAGTACCTTAACCTGAAGAGCCACACCAGGACTCATGATATAGCACAGAGGTTAAGAATCCTGTGTCTGGAATAAAGTTTCTGTGGTTGAATCTCAGCTCCACTGTTAACTAGCTATATAATCTTGAGCAGTTTGCCTGTTTTCTAGATTATTTTTTCTAGATCATTTCTACCTTATTTTTATAAGATGAGGACAGTAGTAACTTTACCCTCTAAACTGTAGTGCTCATCAGACTTGATGTTGGTAGTTGTAGTTATTATTGTTGTCACCATCATCATCATCAGTATTAAATGTGTTAGTGTTGCCATATAATATGGGGAAAGGGAAGAATAACAAAGGTTGATACTAAAATTTCTATAAAGCTCCTGTAACCAAAGCAGTATCACACTAGCATGGAAATGAACAAATGGATTAAAACATTAAAAACGGGTCCAGTTATATGTATATGACATCTTAAGGCAATAAAGTAGAATGATTTTATTCAGTGGGAAAAGGATGTTGATTTGGAGTATGTGGCTATCCAGCTAGAAAAAAAAGGTTAAGTTATACATTTATTTGAAACTATATCTGAGATGGTATAAACATATCAAGGTAAAAAATATATGTGCTAAAAGAAAATTTAGGAGAACTTATATACAGGGGGCTTTAAACAGTTTGTGGGAAATAGAATTAGAACATGAAGGAGTTTTTCCACTATGTTTTGAGTCCCCCTCATATAATCTCAAGGTAGGAAAGTCCTTCCCAACCAAGAAAAACTATACAAAGTCAAAAGACCTTCCAAACCCTCCAACCCCTAAAAAAATATTCTGGGAGGAAAAATATCCTCCCCCCTCAACACAAATATCTGTCAGTGTAGAAGTCCTTTAGAAGCAGACAGCAGGGTAACCAATTTTAAAGGACTTAAATTATAACGGTGTTACTAACTTACATAGCAAGAAATCTGGCTGGGGGTAAAATGGTTCTACAGTATTAGTTAATTCAGTAGTTTAGAAATCTCATCGTATTTATCAAGCATTTACCAAGAATCTCTTCATTGTATTGGCTTTTTCAAGCTAATCTCCTCTTCCCTTACAAATATTTGAAAATACCTTGCAGTGAAGGATTTGATGATAGTGAAACAATCAGAATAAAATCATCTCAAATTATACATGTTCTCTTATAGAGAAAGAAACATCAAGATCAATTAAATCATTTAATAATGGAAGGAAGCCCTGGTGTGGCACTGTGGAATAAGCACTAGCCTGCTATCGACAAGGTCAGCAGTTCAAACCCACTAGCTGCTCCCTGGAAACTCTATACAGGGTTGTTAAGAGTTGGAACCAACTCAATGGCATTTAACCAACAATAACATAATAAATAATAACGGAAACATGGAACAAAAGCGGTAACTACACAGCTCCACTATTTGTGATCTATGTATAATCCGTTGTGTGGGCACCTAGGCAGAAATATGGAAGATCAGATTCTTGATGTTTTAGATATTATTCGGTTTCTCCTGAGCATCACATAAAAAGCCATATTTACTCCCCAGCACATGTTTTAGATCCTATAGATTCTTACAGAAAAATAATACCTTGCTCTAAAAGGATGGAATATTTAGCTGGATCAAATTTAGGGAAAAAACCTTGAGTTTCATCACAAGCTGTTAAAGCTATTATTTTGTACTAGGTGACACCCCGTTTAACATCGACCATATTGTTAATAGTTATGGGATTTTATTGAATTAATGAGACCGTTATCATGTAGTAGAATGTCTTGCTGAGTTAATTGAAACTGCAGAGCTTATATAAATGGTATTAATGAACTTTGACTGCCTGATGCCTCAGCTTTAATAAAGACGCTTGGTGGGCTAAATGAACACAGGCAGATAAAAAGAACAGGTTCAATTGTGTGAGCCTACAGGCTGTTGATGAAGAAAACTTTGTTACCTTTATTTTCAAATGGCATGAGTTTGGAAAGCAGTGACTACTAAACTATCCAGCAGGGATAAATGCTTTTAGCAAGCAGAAAAGCTAACAGAGTAGATGGGAGCAAAATACATATTTTTTTCAGAACCAAGAAATATATTGACAATACATGTTTTTAATTATGCTTTGTAAAATATACAGCATATTGAAGTTAGGATAATTCATTGTGAATATTTCCTTCCCTTTAAAGAAGGTTGTATACTTTCCGATTGTAATTATTAATCAGGTTGTACTAGTTTAGAAATGAGAGCTAAACCAACAATCTTGTTGCTGCTGGTGTTTTTATAATCACTGATTTTGTCAAATCATCCCGTGGTTCAGATACAATATTGTGGTAATTACTATTTGTGAATCTTTATCACTGACTCTTTTGAGAATGAAGTAGTCATTAAAGGCAAAGGAAAAATTCTAAAAAGGTTCCTGCTTAGTTACTAGTAATGTTGTAACGAATAATGTTGTGATTCAATATAGAAAGATTTCACAAAACAGGTTTTGTTACTTGTATTCATGTAGTCAGATAAGAAATGTTAAGTTTAAGGAATTTACTATAACACTTATTATTCTATGATTAAAATTTGTAACAAACATGACTCAGGACTCTGCATGGTCTGGTCCAGGAAGATGTCCTTCATTCTCTGCAGGAACTCACTCTGCCTCCCATCTCCCATCTTCCCTGCTAACTGCCAATGGAGAGGTGACTGCACTGGCTGGTGCCCACCCTAGTGATGCCACTAAATAGAAACAAAGAAAAAAGATATGTATGCTTACCAAATCTCAGGCAGGGCACGTCTTTTTAGGCAAAAAAGAAACCTTGAAGATGATTTATTGACTTGGCTATTATAAGGTATACAGCTTTATTGTTATATCATTAGACCCAAACCCATTGCCATTTAATTGATCCCAACTCATAGCAATCCTGTGTTCTTGTTGTTAAGTGCATTCAAGTCAACTCATACTCACAGTGACCCTGTATAGGGTTTCCGAGGAGCAGCTGTTGAGTTTGAACTGCCAACCTTGTGGATCGCAGTCCAGTGCTGATCCTGCAGAGCCACAGCATAAGTCTAACAATCCTATTGGACAGGGTTCTAAAGCTATGGATCTTTATAGAAGCAAACTGCCACATCTTTATCCTACATAGCAGCTGGTGGGTTAGAACCACTGACCTTTCAGTTAGCAGCCTACTGCTTAATTAGCTGTGCCACCAGTGCTTTTTAAGACATTGTGGTTACAACTAAAAGGTAAATTATGAATATGGTAACTTATTTGTAACAAGATAGTAAAGAGTTAATAATACAGAGTGTGACACATTATCAGGAGAAAGAAAATAACTTCATTAGGAGAAAATTGGCATCTCATAAATAAAAATGATCAATAAAATTTTAGTTTATTATCAGTAACGTTTGAAGAAACTAACGCTAAAAAATTTCTGAAATCTGACAGGATTTTTAAAAACCAACATACGTATATGTAAGGATTTATTGAGAAGGCTTTTTTTTTTTTGCCTCACTGTAAGGGGATTGCTTTTAGAACCTAGTGTAATTTTATAGTTTTAACATTTTACTCAGAAATTCTGTTTCTAGGGAAATTATTCTAACTAAGGAAATAATCCTGGCATGGTCCTATAGGATAAGCACTAGACTGCTAACCACAAGGTTGGCAGTTCTAACCCACCAGCTGCTCCTTGGAAGCTCTATCTATATAGTTTGCTATAAGTTCGAACTGACTCAATAGAACTTAACAAGGAAATAATCAGAAATAAGCAAAAAGATTACCAAAGGATTTTTAATTTTTTTTAAACCTTTGTTCTCTTCTTTCAAGCCTCACCCCTTCCTTCCTTTAAAAAACTTTTGGAGGTTTTCTACAATTAGTAGTTTTAGTTTGATAAATAAAATCATGACACTTTCTTATTTGTAATAACTTTTTTATTCTCATAGGAGGAAAACACAGTTTACTTTGCAGTGTTTCGGAAAAGCCTGGCAAGGTGTTTCCAAATATTTGCCAGTGAAAAACCCTATGGAACAGAATATAGTGTATGGGGTCACCTTGAGTCATCCCTGAGAACTAAGTTAAGATAGCTAAGAACAACAGCTAAGAAGCACAACAAAGCAATCCATTCCATTCCCCCCCCCCGACCACCACCACCCCCAGGACTCTCACCTTCTTTTAAGGAATATTTTTTCAGGGTTTGGCAGTGAGGAGTTGGGTATCTAAAAAAGATTGAAATTATTTGTTATTATTTGCTCTAAATCACACTGAATTGTCAATGTGTCATCAATTTAAAAAAATGCCATGTAGTCCTTAAAATTCAAGGTTAGTGGTAATGTGTAAATTTTAACTCTGTTCAAGATTCCATTTGTAATATTTTTGTGATACAGCTGGATATCTAGATATAACATAGGACTCCTGCTTGTGGCATTGTAATTGTGGCAAGGTCGGCAGTTCAAATCTACTAGCTGCTACTCAGAAACCCTATACAGGGTTGGTATAAGTCCGACCTGACTGTTGGCACACAACAACAACAACAATAGTAGAAGAAGTCCTAGTGTGGCACTTTTGGATAAGCATAGGACTGCTAACTAACCACAAGTTTAGAGGTTCATACCCAGCAGCTGCTCCTTAGAAACCCTGTACAGGGTCTCTATAGCTGAAACCTCCTCACCATCGCTTAACAACAACAACAAATAGTAGAAGGAACGCTTTCTTTCAATTTCCTGCTCAAAGAAAGGGTTTTCTAATTTTGCCATCAAAAATTTCTCCCTTCTCTGCTCTTTTATTTTTATTCTATCTAAAAGTGGTTTTGTCTTATTGTTTTTAAAAGTCATCCTTAGTTATTAAACAAAAGTAAAATGTAATTTGCACACTTTATGAAGTGGAAATTAGTATAATCTATTTTTATATTGTTAAAATACATCTTTTGAAGCTTAAAGGAAAAGAATCTCAGTTAATAAGGTAAGTTACTAATGCAGAGTAACTTACTTCTCAACAATGATGGGTAAATAATGGAGTTTTACTCTTTTAAAGACAGCTTACTAATTAATATTGTACCTTTTGTTTCTCTGTCTATTCATGTAATCCAAAAGTGTAAACACCAATGTGAGGAGAAGAAAAATTATACTGGTGAAATCACTAAATAAATTAAATTTTTACCTAGTGAAATTTTAGTCTTCTGATTAAACATGTTGAAAAAAATCAGATTGTTAAAACTTTATTTTCTGTCATACCTGCTAAAGATTGTTCCCTTTATTAACCAACATTTCCAGCTAGCTGACTTCAGCTCTTCCTAAATCTACAGACATCCTAATTTTGAGCCATTATATAATGAAAACATTGGTGTAATTTCCTTCGGTCTACAGTTCTTAGTTGCCCTTCTTACTGCAGATCTTTACACTGTAGCTCATGATTATAATTTGCATAAATGAAATTCATATTTATGAGTACAGATCTTGAAGCAACTGACAGGTGCAGGCTTGTCTACCATGCCAATTTATTGTTTGTTGTGTTATTTAAAAGAGAACTGCTCTCCATGTTTTAAAGAAGAATAAGTGCTGTGGTTGAATTGGAATCAAATTCTAAAAGTAGATGAAATTTGTTTTGTAGCTTTCCATTTTTATGCTTTTCTATATAATGTGATAATGTTGCGGGTGACTGTAAGTTAAAGAAATGTCTCAAGTGTACTGATAATATCCACTGATGGACTCTCAGAATCCATCCTTCTCATTTCTCTTGCTCTTATGTTTCAGGGCATGCATGAGCTGTTAGCACCTATAGTCTTTACCCTCCACTGTGACCACCAGGCGTTCCTACATGCTTGTGAATCCGCACAACCCAGGCAAGTTTTACACAAGCTCCTCATGATTGTTCTGCCTGGCTGTAATATTTTTTTTTAACCTCAATTTTTTTTAAAACTGAAAATACTTATAACTTCTTATAAGGTGTAAATATGTGGTTGTAAATATTTAATAGTTCTAATGTAAATATTCAGTAGTTCTCATTCAACTTCTGCTATGTAACAAATTAATTTATCAGTATTGCTAAGAATCTGTGATCTGTACCAGAAGAAAACATGTAACTAATGAATCAAGAAGAGGAATTTTTTTTTTTTATATTAGCCAATGTGCCAATGATTGTTAATATTTCTATACACTGTCCTACAGTACCCAATTCTTTCATTATAACCTACATGATAATCTTACCTATGAGTTATTTCTCACCAGGTTTATATGAGCTCAGCTCCTAAACCAGGTTACAGTGCCACAAAGAACCCCATTTTGTAAATATACAAAAATGGCTTCTCTGGTTTTCAAGATGCATATTTATTATTATTTCAGTAAGTTATAAATTTCAGTAATTGCTTTTTCTTAGGCTAATTTTACAATATGTTTACTAATTTAAGATGCCCTAACTCAAGTCTTGGTGTCACGCTGTGTGTTCTGATGTGGCAAAGTTGGTTTGAACCCCACCGTCGTCAGTTTAGGCTCACTGGATGGCTACTTGGAAACCCTATACAGGGTCGCTATGGGTCAGAACTGACTTGATGGCACTTAACAATAACAACAACTGGAATCCTGGTGTAGCACTATAGGATAAGCACTGGATCATAAGGTTGGTTTGAACTGTACAATTGGCAGTTCAAACCCACCAGCTGCTGCTCAGAAACCCTAGAAAAGGTTGTCTATGAATAACTGACTCGACACCACTTAAGAACAACCAGAGAAGCAACCAAGAAGCATTTTGGGAATAGAGAGCTTTAGATTTGTTCAACTTTGTCATGAATAATCCATAGGTTAATGTATCTATACATTTGGAGGAGGAAAGAAAACCCTACAGATGACATTTCACATAATGCCGTCTTTATTAACTAAATATAGCTGTTTATTTTTCTAAGTATGTATTAGGACCTTTGTTCAATTTGCTCTCGTAGCGTAGTGGCTACGAATCGGGCTGCAAACCTCAGGGTCAGCAGTTCAAAACTACCAGCTGTTCTGCCGGAGAAAGATGAGGCTTTCTGCTCCCATGAAGATTTACAGCCTCGGAAACCCCGTACAGGGTCGCTATGAGTTGGAACCGACTCCCCGGCACATAACAACAACATCAATTATTATAAAGTTTCCGTTGAGTGTATTTTTATAATTTCATTGTCTGAGTTTACTAGATCTTGACAAGAGTTGTTGTTGTTTTTAAGTGCCATCGAGTCATTTCCGACCCATAGCGACCCTGTGTAGAGTTTCCAAGGAGCAGCTAGTGAGCTTGAACCACCAACCTTGCAGTTTAAACTGACTTTGCCGTCTGGCGCGTTAACCCCACAGCGCCACACCAGGACTCCTTGACAAGAGTAGCCATGTCTTAATTGTCTTTGCTTCAACTACTTGTCAAGTGTAGTAAGATAAGAATGAAGTTATTAGAATATTTTCTTATGCCAGTTTTATCTTTAAATTTTTTTAAAACTGTGTATGTACGTGTATATGCTTCACCTGGAGTCCTGGTGTGGTGCTGTAGGATAAGCACTGAACTGCAAGGTCGGTGGTTGAAACTCACCAGCTGTTCCTGAAAGCCCCTATACAAGATCACTATGCGTGGGAACCAACTTGACAACACTTAACAACGGTCAACAATATACTTTACATGAAAGTACAAATGATTGAAAGTAGCTTTTAAATGAGTTGGACACACTTCATCAGCTATTTATATTTGAAAAAAAGTAAAAGCAGCAGCATCAAGTAGATTTTTCTGTTTTTGTTAATTGCTGTTAAAATGCCATACAATAAAAAGGTAAGTTTAATCTTTTGATATTGCATTGTTGACCAGTTAACTATAATTTTTTTGTAGTTTTGTTTTGGACAACTGATAGATTGTGGTGTAATCAATTATGGTTATATAAAATATCTTCATAGACTATTTTGTAACATTCTATGTTTGTTATTTGGAATAATTACATCATTACTTCATTGTGGAATACATAGGGAAGCTAGTATGTTTTTTAATTTTATAGAAAAAAATCATTTTGTTTGGTAATGGAGCAACTCTTTTTGCTTGTATTCCTTTTTAAGTGAGGAAATGAAAACTCTCTTGAACCCTGAGTATCTGGAACATGATGCCTAGTAAGTACAAAACCTCTTTGTTTTGTTTTATTCTTACACACTGCTATTTCTTAAATGAAAGTTAAACATTAGCTTGATTTTATTTTCTTAATTTTCAGTGCAATGTTCTCACAACTTATGGAAACTGCTGAGCCTTGGTTTTCCACTTTTGAGCATGATGGTCAAAAGGTAAGTGTTGAAGTACATAGCCTTCAAAATGTTTGAGGAAACACATTATTTCAGTAAATAAGAAACAATCCGTTTAAAAGCCATTTTATTACTATAAGCAATAAATGAAAATTTTAAAATAGTTTTGGAGTAAGATTGAACTCGACATATAAACCCTATTCTAATAATATTGGGAGGTATAAAAATATAATATGAAACACTTTTCAAGTAAATTAGCAGCTTCCCATTCAATGTATGTGTATTATTCATGATGCACGTAGTGTTAATTTTTAGAAGGTTGCCTTCTGCTATGTATACATTTTTAGATATGTTTGATAAGTATATTTATGCTATGCATTTTTTTTTGACCACAAGGTCGGCGGTTCAAACTCAACAGCCGTTCCTTGGAACCTTATACAGGGTTCGTCTGAGTCAAACTGCATCAAAGGCACTCCATGATAGCAATATGTGTGCCTAAAATATTTACTGACTGATTTATTACAGAGAAAATTTTCTGACCCTTAGCTTCAGAGATAAAGTAGTCCTTCAATAGCATGTCACCATGTTACGCATCTAACATATAACTGTTGAATGTTAAACCTGCTGTATGCAGGAGTAACAAAATGGTCCATATTTTGAGGCAATATCTTTATATTCTTGGCTGGTGATTTGATGAAGTCATAAAGTATGTGTGAACATCATAATTTTGAACAGAGAGTACTTGAACAGTTTTAAATGCAAGCAACATGCAAAAGTTGTTTTGTATTTTAGGACTGGTTCACAGTATCTGTAAAACTGAATGATTGCAGTATGAGGGAACCCTTCTTCAGTTTTGCCTGTTTGTTGGTGCCAATATTCAAGTTTATGAAAGTGGCTAAGACAACACAAAGAATGACATTCAATTTATTAAGAAACACATAGCTGTGGCTTCTCGGCAGTCATGTTAAATATTTGTATACATCAATGGGTAATAATGTTCTTAAAGCATGTCTAGTGAATTCCTTTTTCACAATTTCAAACAGAAGTTTCATTTTTTATTCTGTTTCATAATTCCTTCACCTTTTTTATAAGTTCTAGAAGTTATACATATCTTGCCCATTCGGTTATAGTTTCTTTGAAAAGTCAACTAAATCACTATGCATGCTGCTTAATTCAGATTTTTATGAAGAAGGAAGCAGTGTGTTGGTTTATATTCTGCCTCAAAGTTACTTTCTTATTATATTTCTTTGACAGTTTATGGACTCGCAGTGATCTACAGACCATAATCTAGTGGTGGTGGTTGTGTGCCCCCAAGTCATTTCTGACTCATAGCGACCCTGTATAGGGTTTCCAAGACTATAAATCTTTATGGGAGCAGAAAGTCTCATCTTTCGCCTGTGTATCAACTGGTAGATTCGAACTACTGACTTTGCTATTAGCAGCCGCACTCATAATCTCCTACGCTATCAGGGCTCCTTATTGTTGTTGTTAAGTGCCATTGAGTCGATTCTGACCCATAGCAACCCTGTATAGGGTTTCCAAAGAACAGCTGGTGAGCTTGAACACCAACTTTGCAGTTCAAACGACTTTGCAGTCTGGCGCATTAACCCACAGCGCCACACCGGGACTCCATTAGGGCTTCTTACAGACTTACCTTTTTAGTATTGTAAAAGAAATAGTTAAAATTTTTCTAGTTTTACTGATAGTTGTAACTGTCCCATTTGATCATATTTGATAATTACAAATAGGATTCTTTGTATGATAAGAAATCCTGAAGATAAGGGAATATTTTACATTAACTTTATCTTCTCTTGTGATTTTATTGCTTGATAAGCTAAGCTGTTTAACAGCATTTAAGTGATTATGAGCATGACTTTTGAGTTTCTTAGATTTAAGAGATTTTATCAAAAGTTTTTTTTTAGCACAGGGGAAATATTTTCAAAGTACAATTTATACAGGCCTGTAGTTTTTAGTAGGCCATCTCAGCTGCTAATGGGAAGGTTGACTGTTCAAACCCATTAGCCCTGGTGGAGTAGTTGGTTTTGTGTTGGGCTGGTAACAAGGTAGGCAGTTCAAATCCACAAGCCTCTCTACAGTAGAAAGACCTGACTTTCTACTCTTGTAAAGATTTACAGCTTTGGAAACCCTAGACAGGGTCACAGTGAGTCTCAGCCGACTTGACGGCTCATAACAACAATAAAAATACTATTGCAGGCTTTGAACAAAATTGATTCTAAAATAATTCATGAAAAATATTTAATTTAATGAAATTGCATGATCAATTTCCGGTTTGAATAGAGTAGGTTGTAATTAAATCAGTAGCTCATCTTTCAAATATGTGAAAGAGGCACATATTGTTAAATGCCATCAAATTGATTCAGACTCAGTGTGACTGTGTATAGGGTTTTCAAGGAGTATAGCTGGTGGGTTTGAACCACCAACCTTGCAATTAGCAGTCCAGTGCGTATCCTACAGTGCCACACCAGGACTCTGTGCTTAGATATAGTGGTCTGTAAAACGTGTCATCAGGATTGGAGGAAGACTCATTAACCACCTGCAATATACAGATGATACAACCTTGCTTGCTGAAAGTAAAGAGGACTTAAAACATTTACTGATGAAGATCAAAGAGCACAGCCTTCAGTATGGGTTACATCTCAATGTCAAGAAAACAAAAATCCTCACCACTGGACCAATAAACAACATTCTACTCAACGGAGAAAAGATTGAAGTTGTCAAGGACTTCATTTCTCTTGGATCAACTATCAACACTCATGGAAGCAGCAGTCAAGAAATCAAACTACGTATTGATTTAGGCAAATTTGCTACACAATACCTTTTCAAAGTGTTGAAGAGCAAAGATGTCAGCTTGAGGACTAAGGTGTGCCTGACCCAAGCCATGCTACTTTCAATAACCTCATATGCATGTGAAAGCTGGATAGTAAATAAGGAAGAATGTAGAAGAATTTATGCTTTTGAGTTATGGTGTTGGAGGACAATACTAAAAGTGACATGGCTGCCAAAAGAACCAATAGATCCATTTTGGAAGAAGTGCAGCCAGAGTGCTCCTTGGAGGCCAAGATGGCCAAACTTCATCTCTCATGCTTCACACATATTGTCAGGAGGGACCAGTTGCTAGAGAAGGCTATTATGTTTAGTAAGGTGGAGGGTCAGAGAAATTCAAGAGGAAGACCCCCAACGAGATGAATTGGCCAAGTGGCAGCATCGATGGGCTCAAGTGTGGCAACGGTAGTGAGGATGGCCCAGGATCAGGCAGTGTTTTGTTCTGCTGTGCATAGTGTTGCTATGGGTGGGTACCAACTCGATGGCACCTAACAACAACAACAACAATTCTGTGTGATTGGTGGGAGCATTATCTGAGCTCAGGGCTTCCTCCCCATTCTAGATTGTGTTTACTCACACAGATTATCTTCTACAGAAAAAGACATGATTAAGATACATAAAAAGTTAAACTGGCCATTTTAAAGGGAATTCAGCTGTGGAATAAACACTGTCTTTCAACTATGAATGATATCCTACAATTAACATGAATTTCCCAAAACATATATTTCAAATTAATGTCATTGGGAAAAGAATCTTGATAAAGGTTGATTTTTTTTTTTTTTTTTAAAGAAGAGAATTACCAAAAAAAAGCATCTCCAATGTACTTTTTAAAAATAGTATCAATAGTATAGAGGCATCATTTCTCTTGTTTATACAAATTATCACCAAATAATTGAGTCATAACAATTAGACCCAAAGACACTAGTACAGGAACTTCAAGAGAATCCAATTCTCTGTAAGACTTGAAATGATCCTGAAAAGATAGAAAGTCTTTCCTTACAGTAATGTGTACTTCTCTCTCTGTATCTTCTACCAGCCTTTTGTGGAATTCTAAGTGTCCTTTTCTGTGTAGTCTTCCCCTCCAGACTGAAGACAGAAGGGCTTTTTTGTGTTTCCCAGAATGTGGCTCAGGAATGAAAAGATGATGTTCCTTTTAGATATCTAACCAGTTAGGGGCGGAGAAAAGTATTAGAGAATGCTGGGATGTCATAGAAGAAAAAGAAATAGGACCAAGGAAGGTCTTTCTGGAGAACCTGACACGTTAATTTGGATCTTGAAAAATACTTGTGAGCTCCTCAGTAGAGGCACTAGAGCAAGTTGAAGTGTATTTCAGGTAAATGAATGTCATCCCTAGGAACTCTCTAAGCCAATGAGAGTAGAGACTGGCCAGAAAATGAAAGACCTCGTAGGTCTGGATAATAAGTGTGACTTTTCCTTTCTGTTTTGCCCGAGTGAAAATAAGTGAACCCTATCTGGGAGGTTTAAACAAGGCAGTTTTGAATAATACAATTTGTGTTATAGCTAGATCACCTTGTGTTGTAGAGATGGATTTCAAAGCAGATGAACGCAATTTAATGGGAAAATTATTAGCACTTCAAATCAGGCAGCGGCATTAGGGCTGTAGAAGAATGATCCACACTGAGGCACTAACATTGGCAGAGTATGCATTTTTACTGGAGAAGGGGGCAAAGTGAGTATTATGAAAGAACATGTTTTTAAACAGAAGATGATATGCTTGGTCTTAGGCAGGCTGACTTTGAGACCCTTGTGCTAATCCAGGATTCCTTATGAGCATTTGGGTTTATGGGAAGCAATCAAGAGAATACTGAATACAGATTTAGAAGTCTTTGGAAACACTGATATTGGTTTAAGTGTTGTGTATGTCTGATATCACTCAGAGAAAGTATGTAAGTAGAGAATAAAATTAAGACCAAAACCAAATCCATGTTGTTTAAATTATTATATATTCCTGAGCCTTTTTGTGTACAATCCCCCAGCCCCCCAAAAAAAGAAAAGAAAAGGGAATGGAAACAAATACTGTTTAATGATGATGCATGGAGAAGATTGTATTCATTGCAATAAAACAATGGTGTAAGCCGATGTTCTCCCATGTAAACGATCACTCAGTTCACAATAAAAAAACTTAAACAAAACAAAACCCAAATCCATTACTGTCTAGTTAGGAGTCCGGTTGTGGTACTGTAGGATAAGTACTGGACCACAAGGTCAGTTTGAACCACAGTGTTAGCAGTTCAAACTCACCAGCCACTGCTCAGAAATTCTATATGTGGTCTCTATGAGTTGGAACCGACTAGACGGTACTTAACAACTGTCAAGTTGATTCAGACTCAGAACTGCACCTTAGAGTTCTGAGGCTGGATGTAAATCCTTTGTCTGTGGAGCAGCTAGCTAGTGGGTTTGAATCACTAACCTTGAGGTTAGCAGCCCAATGCTTAACCTACTATGCCACCTCTTTAAAAAAGCAGCATCAAGAAACAAAAGCATAAATTTAAGCTAGAAAAGTAGACTGAGAATGAGTTGTTGTTGTTGTTATTGTTAGGTGCCATCAAGTTGGTACCGACTCATAGCAACTTTATGCACAGCAAAACCAAACACTGTCTGATCCTGGGCCAACCTCACTATTGTTGCCACGCTTGAGTCCATCGATGCTGCCACTTAGCCAATCCATCTCACTGGGGGTCTTCCTCTTTTTCTCTGACCCTCCACCCTACCAAATATGATATCCTTCTCCAGCGACTGGTCCCTCCTGACGACACTATGTCCAAACTATGAGAGACGAAGTTTGGCCATCGTGGCCTCCAGGGAGCACTCTGGCTGCCGTTCTTCCAACACAGATCTGTTGGTTCTTTATGCAGCCCATGACACTTTCAATATTCTTCTCCAACACCATAACTCAAAGGCATCAATTCTTCTATGGTCTTCCTTATTCACTGTCTAGCTTTTGCATGCATATGAGGTTATTGAAAATACCATGACTTTAGTAGTCAGAAAATATGAGTGTTGCTACAAATGCTGACTGTAGAAAGGTGGAAATTGCAGACTAAAGGCCAGAAGAAAGTCAGACATTGGTCGTTGAAGTTTACGTGACATCATCCTAAGGAGTTTGAGATACATCTTTCTTAAAATGGGATTATGGGTGGCAGGAAAGGAAGTTGCGGTAGCCCAACATAGTTGGTTTTGTTTTTTAAAGTAGTCTATGTATTTGTTCTGGAAAGTTTTAAAATCCTTTTATTCAACTATATAAAATGACCAAAGGACAGTTAATTGTAAGTGGTGTTGTAATTGTTGTTGCTGTGTGCCACTGAGGTGGTTTTGTCTCATAGTGTAGAGTTTCCGAGAGTAACTTGTGGATTTGAACTTCTGACCTTGCAGTTACAGCTTGCCAGTCCAGCTTCTGCTACAGCACCACATCAGGTTCTAGTGTTAGTTTCCTTATTTCATGACTTTTATAAATTTTGAGAGTTAGCTCTTCAACTCAGAGTAACACAGTCTTCATTTGCCGTTTTCATGTTTAAGTTTTAAAACACAAGATATATGTTTCCATTAAGAATTGCCATTTATGTACTGTGTGATTAGATAAACTAGCCATGGACTAATGAACCTTAGTGGCCACTGCTACCTGTTGCCAAGACTACCTTGTAAAACTTAACGCCGTATAAAAAACTGGTTAAAGAATGCATGCAGAAAATATTTCAGAAGTCATGCCCTGACCATTCAAATGAGTACAGTTACTTTTATATAATGATAAGCATCTGATTGCATATTTTATACATTAGTCATGAGATGTGTGACATAGCTGAATGCTCTTATGTATACTCCCATTTAGAGATAAATTCAAGAATAATATCCATGTATTCTTAATCTTATATTATAGTAATAGGTATTCTGTTTTTCCTGTTTTCAGGGGAAAGAAGCGCTGATGACTCCCATCCCCTTTGCTAGGCCACAGGATTTAGGACCAACAATTGCTATTGTTACAAAAGTTAACCAGATCCAAGATCATCTACTGAAGAAACATGATGTTGAGCTTTATATGCACTTGAACAGACTAGAAATTGCACCACAGATATATGGCTTGTAAGTATTAAAGTATATATTTAAGTTATACCTGCTTATGATTTAAGGTGATTCTGGACATTAGGACCAAGGAGTGTCCTAGCCCCATGCCATATCACTGCTCTGTTTGGTAGGCTCTGTACTCCTGACTTTCACATATGGTGTCTATCCAATACTCCCACCCACCTCATTATTTCGTTATTATCCCTTTGTTACAAGAAACTAAAGCTTAGACCTCGGAGAAACTTAAGGCTTAGATTAAGTTTGCATATATCAAAATCATAATTCAAGCCCAAGGAGAATCGGCTACATATTTCCATGACCTGAGGCAAAATGAAAATTATGGGACCGTTATTTAGAAATTAGGAAGAATTTTAAGATGCCACCAACAGGTCATTACACCAAGCATGGGGCCCTCCTCAGTGACAAGCTGTTTTTACCTACATAGGTCTTCCATCCAGGAAAATCTGTCCTGGACCCAACTTGTCCCGTAAGATGTCCATGTTCTTTCTGTTCCATCATGCAGTCATCCTGTGTTCTACCATCGTGGATCCCTAGCATTCGAGTTCCCAGGGAACATGTTGTCTTAATCTTTCAGCCACATAACTTCTGTAACATGCTATAGCAGAATAATAGGAAGCCAGTCATTCCTTTCATATTCTAAAATGAGGAGCACAGAGCTTAAGGACTCTGGCCAGAGCAGCTTCTACAGTGTACAATGCCAGGGGATGATGGAGGTGGGAAGGGGGAAATCCACTGAAAAGTAAGGGACCACCAGTGGCAATTCATGTTGTCAGTGGTTTGTAATGTGAATTTATATATATGTATATAAATATACATATATGTGTCAGTGATTTATGAATAGCAAATTCAAGATATAGAGGATTGAGTAAATGTGAATTATCTGGGTAGTGCTGTAGACAGCACAAATATGCTTTATGTTGAAACGGTACAACATTCGTAGCTAGTTTTAAACAGTTCCTTGGTATAAATATTCTGCAAATGTTGACTCTCTATTGGGTCCACTTTGGGAAATTTGACAGGTTTTTATTGATATGTGCATAATAGATGCTTGATAAATATGAATTCATTATTTGAATTGTAAAATATAAATCTCAAATTAGTAAAAAAATTTAAGATGAGAGCAAGACTGGTTAGTTAGCCCAGAGCAAAGAATACCAGTGAATGTTGTATATATGTTTTCATATTTTTATATTTCACTGTCTTTTACTACTAATAATCCTCAGCTGTTTTTCTTCTCTGGAAGCCCTGTTTTTCTTCTCTGGAATAAGTGCTTTCCTGCTCTAATGCTGATTGCGTTCGTTTTTGTGACTTCAGCGTCGCCTTGTCATTGAGAGTGGCTCTTTCATTCCTGGAAGCAAAAATGTGTGTTTCATAGGTACTAAGCAGCACTATAGGTGATTTATGAATTGCTGTTTATCCTTATAAATGTAGATAAAGTATAGGCATAAAAATTTATTTTGAAGTAACCAATAAAATGTCAGGAGTTAAATTCTATATTCCTCTCTGACATGGAACCCTTTTTTAAACAAAAATGTGACGCCGTTGTTTCTCGACATAGTCTACCTCTAGGTCTACACACTTCTGAAGGTGATGTGCCTGTCTCTCTAACTCTTAACTGAAGAGTTCATTGTTCTTTCATTTACAGCACATCTAAACAGCAGTTTTGGCATCCTCCTGGGACTCTTTTCAATGTCCTATGAGTTTGGGAAACAAAAAGAATTCTGAAGGGGCAAGATCAGAGCTGTGGAGTGAATGCAGTAAGGTTTCCACCAAAATTCTCTTAGGACAGTCCTTGATACCTTTGAAGAAGGAGCAAGTGCATTGTCATGATAGGGAAGATTTCTTGACGCATCTTTCTTGGTCTTTATTCACCAATGTATTTTTCACTTTTCTTAAAACTTCTGAATCATATGCCCCATGATCATCCTGTGTCTTTTGAGAACATTGATCAAGATTATCCCAACAAACAGTGGCCATAACTTTCTGAGTTGATCCTTTCTTTCTGCTTTGAAGTTAACTGGCCCAGCATATCCCATAGGAAGTCACTGTTTGAATGGGTCCCTTTTTAATGAAGGCATCTTAAAGAGGCTAAGATAGATGTATTATTGAGTGAAATTGTCTCCAGCCACCTACTGACTGCAGAGGCATGTTTTGTTTGAAATAAACCTGGACATATGTGAGCTAGAACCCTAATATGAGTCTTTTTTTTACTTAATCACATGCAATAGTCTAGTTTATGCCCTCAAATTAAGAATTTCTAGAAATTGTTTGTAAACATTGAAGGAAAGAAATTGATGTTTGACACGTGCATCATTTCTTTGAAATGCTTAGTAGTTTGGTGCCTTTTTGTCTGAACTGGTGCTTTGTGTTTCAGTGTTGATGGCATTGGCTTCCATACAGTAATGTCAAGACGATATATACCAGTTCACATTTCTAACATTCGTTTGCATCAGTTTTCTCTTCATTGTTGTAAGTAAGAAGTGCTTTAACATTTGATCAGCACTTTCCCATTAAAATTCCACAAACCATGACATAACTGCTCTTAATTGTACCAACTTCATTTATACCAAGACTAGCCATGGTCAATGCTGCCTTATTTGCCCTTATTTTTGTATAGAAGCTCATCTACATTGTCTATAATTTATTTTTTTAACCTTTAAAGAAGAGGTCATTCATTCAATCAATTTGAGCCTCATTGTATTTCATAGTGCAAAGGTTTTTATTACCCATTTCATTTATTTATTCAGTTTATTAATTATTATTTATGGAATACATGAAAAGTGAGTACCCTTGATTATTCCTATGTCCCTTTATGCTAGCCTAAGTTGTACTGCCATCTGTTTATTCCCTTTCATGACTGTTAGAAACTTGCTGTCATAAAATACCATAATATAAAATGTTAGTTAAAAGCACAGACTTTGAAATGAAACAGACCTGTTTAATTACTTTGGTTTCTTCTACTGTGAAATGGGGATTGAAAATCATTGTATCTACTTCATTAGATACTTGTGAAAATTAAACCAGAATGTATACAAAAAAGATAGTGCTCGGTATGTATTAAGCATTCAATATATATATTTGGCAGTACTTTATTATAATCTGTCATTACAATTACTTAATTAGAATATTCATGGATATTTAAATATGATGTGCCATGAGAATCACTAACCCTTCCAACTCGCTCTCTGTGTTTTCTTTTTTTTTTAACCTCCTCAGGCATA